ATGAACTGAAGAAGGAAATGACAAACCGCTCCAGTATCTTTGCCAAGAAAACACCAAAAGAGGTCACAGAGTCAGATATGACTGAATAACAATAGTAGAAGATAAAACTCCAACCTAGAAAACTATAACATATAGTATTACATGATAGGTGCATTAAAGATGTGCAAAGTATTTGTGAATTCTGAGAGGGAAGATCATTACCAACTTAGGGTTCAGGAAATATTAACTAAAGGTGATAGCATGTGAATTGGGCTTTAAGGAATAGGTAGGGATTCAACAAGCAAAAAGAAAGGAGGAAACCATCCCAGACATGGGGAATGACCTGTATAAAGACACAGAGGCAGAAAGGTGTGTGTGTGTGTGTGTGTGTGTGTGTGTGTAAGTAGATAGGGGGCAGAGAGCTATAGACTTTAGTGGAAGAGAATAATATAAGGTTGCAAGACTGGATAGGTAAGTTTATGCCAGGCATAATGGAGAGCTTTAGATGCCAAGCAACAGGGTTAGAATTTTACTCCCCTGGTTTTTGAGCCCAGTTTTGAGGTGATTTCTTGTGGAGGTATGTAGAAATACTACCTTAAAATATGCTTGTTGTGAAAGTTTTTACATTTCTTTCCACTTCAAGAAAGATGTTTTCATTAAAAACAAACAAGCAAAAACCCTTGTGGCTGCTTTTTCCTTAACTTTCATTGTTGTTCTCTTACTATGCAGGAACCTGTGGCCTCAAGGCCCTGTGCTTGCAGCAATATGGTAGTTCTTGCTTTGAGAGGCAGGAAGTACAACATATTTACTGGACTGCTTAGTAAGTGCTCACTAAGTGCTTACTGAAGGGAGAATAAAGCTCTTCCTGAAAGATATTACATGTTCAGGCCACTAAATATAGTGTGGATGAGTTTATGAGATCATAGGTCTAGAGCTGGAAGGACCTTTTGGGCCATTTATCTCCCTCATTTTACAGAGGAGGAAACTGAGGCTCAGAGGGTTTAAGTGATTTGCTCAAGGTTAAACATATCAGTCAGCAAGCATTTATTAATTGCTATGTTGTATTAATTGCTATATCAGGTACTGTATTTTGTGCTAGAGATAGAAAGACAAAAAATAGTCCCTGCTTTCGATGAGTATACATTCTAATAATGGTTGTGGGCATGGGGTGGAGATGACATGTAAATAACGAGTTATATACCATATAGAGAGAGTACATGGAAGGTAATCTCAGAGAGGCATTAGCTACTGGGGAGAATGGGAAAGGCCTCCTGCAGAAGGTAGGATTTACGCTGAGTCTTTTTTAAGGCAATTGGGGTTAAGTGACTTGCTCAGGGTCACACAGCTAGTAATTGTAGAGTGTTTGGTCTGAGGCTGGATTTGAACTCAGGTCCTCCTGACTTCAAGGCCGGTGCTCTATCCACTGTGCCACCTAGTTGCCCCTTTGTGCTGAGTCTTGAAGGAAGCTAGGGAAACTACAAGGTAGAAGTGAGTGGTACAGCATTCCAGGCATGGGGTACAGCCACTGCAAAAGTCCTGATGTGGGCGAGTGTCATGTTTGAGTGACTATAAGTAGGTTAGTATAGCTGGATTGTGCAGTGTGTGGAGGGGCCAGGCTATGAAGAGCTTTCTATGCCAAACTGAGAGCTTGATGTTTGATCCTGGAGGTAATAGGCAGCCACTGGGATTCATTGAACAGGGAGGTGATAAAGTCCCTGTTGTACAGTAAAGGATGATTTAGCGCCTTATATAGCTAGCTTAGAAAAATCACCTTGGGAGCTGAGTGAAGGGATTAAAGTGGGGAGAGTCTTGAGGCAGGGAGACCAGGTAGAAGGCAGGCTACAGAGGGTAGAAAGGTGTTGAGAACCGGAACTAGGGTTGGAGCTGTATGAGTGGAGAGAAAATGATGGATAGGAAGTGAATGAAATTTGACAATAGATTGGAGAGACCAGGTGAATGAAAGTGAGGACTTGAGGGTGACACCAAGTGTAATAGCGGGGGTGACTAGGAGGAAGAGCAGCTAGGTGACGCAGTGGATAGAATGCAGGGCTTGAAGCCAGGAAGACCTGAGTTCAAATCCAGCCTCAGACACTAGCTGTGTGACCCTGGGCTGGTTTCTTCACCCTGCTTGCCTCAGTTTCCTCATCTGTAAAATGAGCTGGAGAAGGAAATGGCAAACCACTCCAGAATCTTTGCCAAGGAAAACCCCAAATGGGGTCATGAAGAGTTGGACACGACTGAAAAACAACTGACCGGCAGGATGGTGGGGCCCTTGACAGCAATGGAGAAAGGGAGAGGTTTGGAGGCGGGGTAGGGAAGAAGAGATAATGAGTTCTATTTTGGATATGTTGAGTTTTAGATGCCAGCGGGGCAATTCGAATTATGTGGTAGAGCCAAGATTTGAACACATGGCTTAAGGCATCCCTTCTCCCATTGTGCCACAGCTGTGTCTCTGATTGGGCAGATGGTGATCAGCCTCCATTATGAGTCATAATGCTTCCTTGATTGAAAGTTGAGAGAGTGCTTGGAGAACATCTAGTTCAACTCTCTCATTTTACAGATGAAGTAATATTATTAAGTGACTTGCCTCAAGATAGTAAGCAAATGAGGGTGAACAGATTACTGGCTTTGGAGTGAGGGGACTTGGGTTCAAATCCTGTCTCTGTTATCTGTCTGGGTTACTGGTGTAACCTAGGGATAAGTCACTTATCCTCTCTGGGCCCCAATTTCCTCATCTGACAAATGGGGGGGGTAAATTTATTGTTGCTTGCAGTTTTTCAGTCATGTCCAACTCTTCATGACCCTATTTGGGTTTTTGTTTTGGGGGTTTTTTTTGGGCAAAAATACTGGGAGTGGTTTGCCATTTCCTTCTCTAACTCATTTTACACACGAGGAAACTGAGGCAAACAGGGTTAAGTGACTTGCCCAGAGTCACCCAGCTAGTAAGTGTCTGAGGTCAAATTTGAACTCGGGTCTTCCTGACTCCAAGCCTCACACTCTTTCTACTGCATCACTTAGCTGCCCTCGAGGGGTAAATTAAAGGGTCCCAAAAGACCCTCCTACCTCTTGATCCTAGAATCCTACCTGACTTCAGCATGAGGAAGTTATCATAATGGCTTCATCAAATTTACCTTCTAACATTTTATTTAATACTTACTTCCTAGCCTTCTGCTATTTCTATAACCACCAGACAGCCACTCTTCATGAAGATATTTCACTTTCATCTCTATATCTGAGATTTTTACTTCTCCCTATACTTCTTTGGTTTATGCTTTAGCTCCCCCCTGCTTTTTTTTTACTTCTAACTTCTAACAAAAATCTGATTTTTTTTTTGACTCAGTCTATCTTAACTCTAGTCAAGTCAATTAGCCAGCATTTATTAAGAACCTATTGTGTGCCAGGCTTTGTGCTAATCCGTAAGGATACTAAGAAAGGCAAAAAACAAATAGTCTCTATCTCCTGGAGTTCAGAGTCTGCTTGACATTTTTAAGGCTCCAGGTATTACTACTAGAATTACATGCCCTCTAGGGGCAGGGGTTGGATTTTGGTTTATTTTTATTTCTCCTCAATGTCTGCATACATAAATAATAAAAAGCTTCATAAATGTTTGATGAATAAATTTGGTTCTTTTATTTCCTATCCATCCTTTGAACCTGGCATAGACCCACTGCCAGATTTTCTTTCTGGTTAAATCCTAAGCTTCCCTAACCCATGCTGATAAAATGACAAATCCTTTTCCTAAATCAAATTATTACCCTTAATTTATCACTATTATACATTTAGATTTTTAAAAAATAGTTTTCATTCTTTTGTTAATAATATTTCCTTTCCCCCAATTTTTAACATTTATTTTTAAAAATTTTTGAGTTCCAGGGGCAGCTAGGTGGCTCAGTGGATAGAGCACCAGCCCTGAAGTCAGGAGGACCTGAGTTCAAATGCTGACTCAGACCAAACACTTGACACTTACTAGCTGTGTGACCTTGGGCAAGTTACTTAACCCCAATTGCCTAAAATAAATAATAAAAATTAAAAAAAATTTTTTTTGAGTTCCAAATTCTCTCCCTTCTTCCCCTTTCCTCTTCCTAGGATGGTAAGCAATTTGATATAGGTTATTCATGTGCAATCATGCAAAATATATTTCCATGCTAGTAATATTGTGAAAGAAGACACAGACCTTCCTCCCCCCAAAAAAAACCCAAACCCACAAGACATGAAAAAGGTAAAGTAAAAAAAGTATGCTTTGATCTGCATTCAGACCCTATCAGTTCTTTCTCTGGATGTGGATAGAATTTTTCATCATGAGTAATGGTTTTCTTTCAAGGGAAGTACCCTGGCATAATGTCTGAGTTGGGTGTTGGACAAAAGTATATGTGACTTTTTGAGCTGGATCCCAAACACCCACTGTGAATGTTGGCATTCTAGAATAGCAAGCGCTTAAAACCTCATTTCGTTCCAAAGTCACTTAGTCAAGCAGAGACTCTTAGCTTAGGGCTGGAGAGCAGGTGAAGCACACTGGTTAAGGGAAGGCTGTCCATCAGGCAGATACTGCCAGTGTGATCTATGGGATAGGGGCTTAGCCTGGGATCCCTGAAACTTTTTTTAAAAAATATTTTGAAAACTATATTTCAGAATAATTGATTTCCTTTGCAAGTCTGTGTACTCTATGTTATGCATTTAAAGACATTATTCTGCAAGGGATCCATAGGCTTCACCAGACTGGGATGGGGGTATAAGGGTGCCAATGACACCCAAAAAGTTAAGAACCCTTGAGACAGAAGACCTGAGTTAAATCCTACTTGTGACACTTAGCAGCTGCCAGCAGGCTTTCTGTGCCTCAGTTTCTTCATCTGTAAAATAGGGAAAGAATACCTGTAGTCTCTAAACTCACAGGATTATTAAAGTTCTCAGATGAAATAACACATGTAAAACAATTTGCAAACCAAATGCTATTTAAATGTCAGCTACTATTATTTATTATTGTTATCATCTTATGCTTCTCATCTTTTTTCCATGGAATTTAGATAAAAACAGTCCTGGGACAAATGGATATCCTTCTATTATTCTGTTATGGTTCACATTCTGCAGAGCATCGCACAGGTAGATGAAATTAATTACCTTTTGTAATTAAAAGTGTTAGCATGTAAGAGTTTTCATTGTCATTGTTCATATTAGCCTTATTCATCTGAGCTAGTTTCATGAATGTGTCCATGTGGTTTAATCTGCCTGAGGGCATTGGGACTGGAAAGTTGTAGGAAACCTAGTTTGACTGAAACCCTACTTTGTTCCCTGCAGTGTGCTGGAGGGCAGCTCCTTTGCCAGAGTTTGGTCCAGCCATTACTTGAAGCATGAACCCCTCCCTTACTGTGTGAAGGCAGGCATGAACCCCTCCCCCTTACTGAATTCCTCTGTGTGAACTCATTCAGCGATCAGAGGCTCACTACCACGTGAGGCAGGGTTCTCTTGTTGGACAGCTCTGACCATTGGAGCCTACTTCTTTTATACGGAGTAGAAAGCTACCCCCTGTGGTCCTCAAACTATAGAATCTTGGACTCATGGAATATCAGAATAGTTCTACACTCTCTACTTCAAAGGGTTTTTGTAAAGAAAGCACTTTGGAAACCTTAAAGTACTCTAGAAATGTGAGTGGTTATTATTATTATAGAAGGAATGATTAAAGTCATGGGGCTGTGTGGTGTAGTGGAGAGAACATCCAATTTGGAGGCAGAGGGCCTGAGTTTGAGTCTTGGCTCTCTTCTCTGACATCTTTTTGGCTCTGAGCAAACTCCTTTCCTTCTCTGGGCCTTGGTTTCTCTCTATGTAAAATGACAGGGTTGGACTTGATAAGCCCTATGATCTTTTTTAACTTCACAATTGATGATTTAATTGAAGTATCTTCCCAATGTAGGAACCCCTGATGGGGATCATCTAACCTCTGCTTGAACATGTCCAGTGACGGGGAGCTCACTTCTTAACAAAGCAGACTGTTTTATTTTGGACAGATTCTTTTTCTTCATGAGTGACAAAAGAAGCAGGTACGTAGATTATGGAAAGTGATAGGTTGGAGGAGGGAGGGGAAGAGGAAAATAACTTTCTTGATTATGTTTTGTGGTCTTTGGGAACTTGTTTAGTGATGCTGGATATGGGTTTCAACTGTTTTCTCTTCAACCTTGAATAAAAATATCTCTAGTCAATCAATAAGCCTGTGTTCTTGGCTGCTGGAGAGATATAGATTATTTAAGTGAAATAGTCCTGAAGTTGGAATCAGAGGAGCTGGGTTAGAATGCCCTCTCTGCTACTAACTACTGCCCCATGAGACCTTCAGCAAGTCATTTCTTTCTCTGGGTCTCAGCATCTTTAACTGCAAAGCAAGGGGGTTGGAACAGGTCAGAACTGTAACTAGGGAAAAATCAATAGGATGTGGCTTCAGAGGTACAATGGATGAAGCACTGAACCTGGAGTCAGGAAGCTCTGAGTTCAAATCCAGCTGTCTGATCCTGGGTAAGTCACTTAACTTTTGTCTGCCTCAGTTTCCTCAACTGTAAAAGGAGGATAATAATAGCAATGACCTCCTAGGGTTGTTGTGAGGATCAAATGAGATATTTACAAAGAGCCTTGCAAACCTTAAAGTGCTATATAAATGATAATAATTATTATTAGAGCAGTGAAATTTGGAGATTGTGGTCGACCCATGCACTCCCTTAGCTGCTGGGCTTAGCACCTAGTTAGCAGTAACAGTTAGTGGAAATAGGAAGCTACCAGATGGAACTTATAGAAGGATGAAATTTTTGGAGTTTGAAGGGACCAGAAGTGTGAATTACATAGGCTTAAGAATCTTCCATTAAGGAAACTTCCTTTACTAATGCAGATTGGTGCCTGTTCTATAACACAGTCTTACTGAGTTGTCTGGGGGGTGCTGAAAGGCCAATTGGTTACTTGTCCAAGGTTCCACAACCTGCATGTTACAGAGACTAGCTCTTTATCCATTATATCATGTAGCTTTTCTGTGAATTATTGTTACAAGTATCTTTGTGGTCCATGCCTCCTGATTGGCACAGACGACCTCAACCGCTAAGTGACCTTGGTGGTTAAAAAGTAAAGTCTACATTGAATGGAGATCCAGGTGCGATTGACTAAAGAGTTTAGCTTGGGAAAGAACATTTTCTGGGGTCAATGCCAATATCAGTAGGCTGTCTCCTTTTGTCCTGAAGATATAATCAAGCCTTCCAGAATACTTGGAGGTCAGTCTGTGTACTGTAACTCATACTTTGGGGAGTGGACAGAAGCAGCTGATGTAATAGACCAAGACCTGGGTTCTGGACCCAGAGCCATAATTGACTTTCTCTGTGGCTTCAGACTAGTCCTATTACCCCTCTCTCTGTGGTCCAGTTTCTCTATGAGTCAAATGGTGTAAATAATTTCTGCTCCCCTCCCCACTCACCAGAGCTATTGTGAAAGATAAATGAAGTAATAAAAGATATCCTGGAATCATAGAATGTCAGGTTTGGAAGAAATCTTAGAGGTCTCATCTTAGAAGTTCAACCCCAGCAAGTGGCCCACCCAGCTGCCTCTCTTTCAGGACCTACAGTGATGGAGAGCTCCCTACCCCAGGGAGGTATTGGAAACCTTTAATTTCATGTCCAATGCTAGGATAGTTTTTGTTCTATTGAGCTGAAATCTGCCTCCTGATGACTCCCCCATCTGCCCCATTGCTCCTGATTCTGCCCTTTGAGCCCAAGTGGAACAAATCTAATTCCTTTTTCATATGACAACTCACCAGATACTTGCAGACAGTGATCCTTTCCCCCTTACTACATATTATACACATAAAAAGTACCAGTAAAGGAGATTTTGTTTTTAGCCAAGGTTCTAGCTAATATTGGGATGCTTGTGGGCACAAAGAGAGGCTTGGCCCTCTGGACCTGAGGGATTATTCAAGGTGATCTGTGAATCACTTATGTGTGGCTGTGTTCTACTGAGGGTATGTCAGCCAGGGTAATGGGCATAGGTAGGGATAGTCGTTTGTCTCTGAAGCTTTTAAATGAGTGTAAGGATTTATTTTTAATTTTTATAGAACTCAGCTGAAGGCATGTTAAAATAATCCTAACCTCTGAAGTAGGCTTCCCCAGAGGTATCATGGGAGAGAGAAAGGCAGAATGGTATAATAAATAACAGTAACTCTGATTTCTATAGCACTTTCCAGGTTTCTAAAGCATTTACTTTACAATAACTCTATCAGGTAGATAGGGCCAGCATTATTAACCACATTTCACAGTTGAGAAACCTGAGGTTCAGAGATTTCCCTGGGGTCACACAGCAACTAAGTATCTGAATTAAGACTTCAATTCTACTCTCCTTAGTGTAAAGCCAATATTTTGTTCCTGATACAAAATCAGAATCAAAGAATTTTAAAGCTAGGAGACATCTCAGAGGCCCACCAGTCCAATTTGTGCCTGAAAGAGATCCCCTATCCAACTTAGTGGCCAGGTGTGGTAGTGCTCACCTGTAATCCCTGCTACTGGGGAGGCTGAGGCTAGTGGATGGCATGAGCTTGGAGTTCTGAGCTACAGTGGGCAAAAAGCCTTTTGGGTGTCAGAACAACTTATACAATAACATTATAAAGAAAAACAGCTAAGAAAGACTTAAGGGTGCTGATCAATGAAATGACTGATTGTGATTTCAGAGGACCAATGATAAAACATTGTACCCATTCCTCACAATGAGGCAATGAACTCAATGTGACATGATTTCAGGCATGGCTAACATAGGGATTTGTTTTGCTTGACTATGCATATTTGATAAAGGGGTTTTATTGGTTTTTCTTTCATTTTAATGTGTGTGTGTGTGACTTTAGGTAAAAGGGGGTTCTCCATAGTTACCAAAATGCAAACAAAAAATAAGAAAAGTAAGAAAAGAGGATCATAAAAGCATTTTTTAAAAATGCATGGAAGAGAACAGAAGAAAAGTTCAATAGGAAACCCAGACAAGCTGAACAACTTTGAAAATAACATGTAGAATTTTTTAAATACTTGGAGATAGAATTAAGCTGTCAGTAGCACTGATTCTTTGTTACCTGTGCAATCCTCTCCTGTTCTGCTTTCCATATGGAAATGCTTTTCTGCTTTGGTGCTTAAATTTGGAATAAAAACAACAACAGAAAAAACAACAACTAAAAATGAGAGGTTTAGACTAGATGTCCAAGGTCTATTCCAGCTCTAAATCTCTGATCATATGACTTGGATTCCTTTGTGATCATGGGAAAGTCACATGAGTTCCCTGAGCCTCAGTTCCTCATCTGTAAAATCAGGAAAATATTTATTGTACCTACTTCAGAAAATTATTATGAAGCTTTAAAAAAAATCATGCATAACGTGTTTTTCAACCATTTCACACCAGTGGTTTCTTTGACCTGGTAAGGAAACCCACTTTGTTAATGCAGGTGGGCACCTTGTCTGTACCTTATGGACTTGGGAGTTGCCTTGGATGGAGATGAGGTGGAGTTTAAGTGTTCAACAAGAACCATTCCTCAGAGTGACTGTCTCAGAGTCACATGGCCTCTATCGGTGAGAGAGGTGGGAACCCATGATTAGCTTTTTGCCCCTTTTTGTATTCCCAGCACTGGGCCTGGCACATAGTAGATGCTTAATAAATGTTTTTTGACTGACTGACCCACAACTCTCTATCCATTTTGCCTTGCTGCTTACAACAAGAATAATAACAATGGGAGGAAGAAGTGTAATAATGAATATTAATGCTAGGATAATAATAAGATCCTGTCTCAAACACTAAATGTATGTCTCTGGACAAGGCACTTAAACATCTCCCAACCTCAGTTTTCTTATCTGTAAAATAAGACAATAATGACATGCATATCATAGGTTGTGGTGGGAAGCAAATGAAATACACATACATATGCATACACATATACATACATGCACATATATGTGTATGGTATGATTATATGTATACATACATTTATATGGCAGCTAGATGGCACAGTGGATGGAGTGCTGGTCCTGGAGTCCAGACGGCCTGCGTTCAAATGTGCCTCAGACACTTACTAGCTGTGTTACCCTGGACAAGTCACTTAACCATTTTTGCCTCAGTTTCCTCATCTGTAAAATGAGCTAGAGAAAGAAATGGTAAACCAGTTCAGTATCTTTGCCAAGAAAACTCCAGATGGGGTCACAAAGAGGACACAACTAAAAATGACTAAATAACAACATATACACACACATACATAAATGTGTTATATGTCATTTGATTGACTTGATATATGGTGCTTTGTAAACCTTAATGCACTATATAAATGTTAACTATTATTATTATTAATTATTATTATTTAAACTCAGTGATTCCTGGTCTTCTCTGGGTCCTGCTCATTGTATCATCTAAAGCTTATTAATGAGAGGTGATATGTTATTCTGGGCAGCTAGGTGGCGCAGTGTATACAGCGTTGGGCCTGGAGTCAGGAAGACTTGAGTTCAAATCCAGCCTCAGACATTTACTAGCTAGCTGTGTGACCCCAGGAAAGTCAATTAACTGTGCCTCAGTTCCTTCATCTGTAACATGAGCTGGAGAAGGAAATGGCAAATGACTTAACAACAACAACAATCTCATTCAACATATTCATAATAATTAATAGTAGTAGGTGGCATTTATATAGCACTTTAAAGTTTGCAAAGCACTTTACAAATATTTTCTCATTTTATCCTCACAACAACCCTGGGAGGTAGGTGCTGTTATTATTCCCATTTTACAGATGAGGAAATTTGAAAAACAGAAAAGTTAAATGTGTTATCCAGAATCAGACTGGTAGCTGGTAATTGTCTTAGACTGGATTTGAACTCAGGTCTTTCTAACTCCAGGTCCAGTGCTCTGTCCATTGTGCCACATAGCTGCCTCTCTATTCATAGAACATGGGACATTAGAGCTAGAAAGACTTTAAAATGTAGAATATTAGAATATTAAACGTTAGAGCTGGTAATGACCTTAGGTTATACAATAACAGAGCTGAAAGGGGTCTTAGGACATAAAGCTTCAGAAAATGGGCTATAGAATGTCAGAACTGGAAGGGACTTAAAAACATAGACTATGAATGTATATGTGGGGGGTGGAGGGCAAGAGAACCTTAGAATGTCAGAGTTAGGAGGGATCTTAGAACGTAGAATTTTAGAATTATGAGGAACTTTGGAGATCACCTAGTCTTCCTTCCTCGTTTTAAAACTGAGTAAAATGAAGACCAGAGAGAAATGACTTTCCCAAGATCCTGAGCCTAGGCAAGGAGTAAGCAAGATACGCAGCCATTTAATTATAACATCCGAGGTTGTGATGGAAGTGAATGAGACATTTAAAATATGACCTTTATAAAAATAATTCCTTATGTCTTTAACACTAGAAGGTTCTGCTCTCCCCAGTTTATAGATAGGTGTGTTGTGGGAAGTCAAGTGACCCATATCTCATTGAAGGCTCAGAGCCTTTCGTGGACAGTGACATAACATGGAGGAGTTGAAACTGGATGGATGGATAAGATTTGGGCGGGGAGGGAGTTGGGAATTTGTGGTGTATCCATGTTAGTCACCAGTACAGACCACTTGGCATGGGGACCCTGGAGGAGGGAAGGGGGTACAGCTGTGCTTTCTCCACATGTAGCAGTTAGCTTCTTTTGCCCATCCTTCACGCTAATTTCATCCCATAGAGTTACAGTGGGAAGAACGTCATCCTTGCTATGCTTCGAGGTGCCATATTGGGAATGGATAGAGAGATAGAAACAACCTAGTTCCTGCTCTCAAAAAGCTCACAATCAAAGGTAGGATGCAATGTGTATATAAAAAAGCATGATGCAAGGTTGACTGTGGTTAAGGGGAACGAGAGACCCAAAGTAATATGTGGAAGATCTGAGATCTGAACTCAAGTTCTATGTTTCTTAAGTTCAGTGCTCTAAATTCAGGAGTTTTCCCTCTTTCTTCCAAGTGATCTCTGGGTTTAATAGTCACTGTGTCTATTCTGAGTTCATTGGCTGTTTTGTGTTGCTTTCATTTATGTTATTGTAGCAATTGTGTATATTGTTCTCCTGGTTTTACTTACTTGGCTCTGAATCAGTTCCTACAGATTTTCTCATGTTTCTCTGAATTCCTCATGACCATTTTTTTTGGTGGCATAGTAATATCCCACTATATTCACATACCATAGTTTGTTCCACTGTTCCTCAATTGATGGGCAATCATTTTGTTTTCAGTCTTTTGCCACCACCAAAGCACTATTATTAATATTTTGGTGTATATGAGGCCTTTCATGTTGTCTGTGACTTCACTGGAGTTCATGCCCAGTAGTGGAATCTCTGGGCCAAAGGGTGTGAATAGCTTAGTGACTTTTCTCACGTAATTCCTTTGGGGTCTGTTGATTACTGATTGTGATGTTTGGGGGGGTGGTGGTGGTAGAAGGAGGGGTCTCTTGCTGCAGCCCCGGCAAGGAGCAGCTATGGACAAGATCCTGGAAGCTGTGATGCTGTCATCCTACCCCACCAATGTGAAGCAAGGGCTGGCACGGAGGGTGATCGAGGCAGCAAAGCAACCCATGGACAGTGTGCAGTGCTGGGCCATGCTGGAGCTGTCCACCAAGCTCTTCCTGGTGGGCGACACCAAGTTCAAGCGGGAGATTGGGCAGGAGGTCCTGGAAGTCTATGGCCGCTACCACCTAGAGGCCTTCCTGGAGTTCTTTAACGCCCATTTCCTCCTGACTCTGCTGCAGGAAGGCTATGGGACCCCAGGCCACCCCAGCCCCTACGTGCTGGATTACGTCCAGCTGGGCCTGCAGTTCATCCCGGAGGGCCCGGCGGCCGAAGGTGTCTTTGCCTTGCTCCGCCTGGAAGTCCTGAGAAAGGTGTGCGAACGGCCCGGGCCCAGGCAATGTGCCAAGGTGGCTCGCCTCCTAAGCCAGTACCCGCGCTGCATTCCAGATGGCAGACACCGGCTGCTCTTCTGCCAGCAGCTGGTCCGCTGCATCGGGCAATTCCAGTGCCTGGCAGAGGGGGAGGAGGGCATTGTGGAGTTCTTGAGCCATGTGAATCGAGTGAGTGGGCTTTTGCCTAAAATTTGGAGGGCTCAAGCCTCATCCATCCTGCCATCCCTGAAGGAGCTGTTTGCCATCATCTCTTCCACAGGTACTCAGGGTGGGGGGAGGGCTTGTGGAGAGAGGACTGGTCAGTGGGCACAGGAAGCCATATGTGTCTTGACCTTAAATATATACTGGAGAATGTCAGAGCTATATGGGACCCCTCTAGTCTAGCTTCCTCCCATCTTGTCATTTTACAGATATGGAAACTGAGGTTCAGGGAAGTGTGGAACATCTTTTTCCAAGTTCATACAGCTTGCTCGTTCTGAGACTAGGACCCAAATCTCTTGACTAGGGTCAGGGCTCTTTCTATCCTACCACTCACAAATAGACAAATGTGACCCTGCTCACACTTCTTTACACATATGCATGGAGGGACACACGTTCTTTTGTGGACCATCACACATGTCTGAGAGCATTTTTGGTGAGGGGAATGAGATCCAGAATGATGATTAAGCATTTATTACATGCTTACTCTGTACCAGGCACTGTGCTAAATTCTGGGGATACAAAGAAAGGCAAAAACAGTATCTACCTTCAAGGAGCTCACAGCCTAATGGGGGAAACTTTTAAAAAAAACATGTAAATAAACACAGACAAGAAGGAAAATAGGTCTCCTGAGGAAGATGAGAATTGTCTGGGGCACTGAGAAGTTAGTGCATGATCCCAAAACTAGTATGTGTCAGAGTTAAGACTTGAACTCAGGTCTTTCTGATGCCAAGGCTGGCCCCCTGCCCACTTCATCAAGCTGCTTCTCTTGAGAGCCACACGGACTTGTGTGTAAACATATTTAGTGTTTGCATATGTATAAAGACATGTATGGGTGTGAGTGCCCTATCTAAAATATGAAATTCTTTCTAACCTCTCCCCTGATTGGATGTCAGGTGGCCCAATCATTCTGGATCTCACTGCCCTCACCAGGAAGTGATATGGAAGCCTGGATAAGGTGAAAGTTTCCCTACCCAAACTCAGGGCGGTTCCAGGAGTAGAAAATTCTAGTACATGCTAGCTGTAGGATCCCAGGCAAGTCGTCGCTTGCCCACCACTCATCACTTTTTCTACTGATTCCCCTGCTCTACATCTTATAGGTGTATTATTCTCCCTATTAGCCCATAAGCTCATTGAGGCCAGTTAACACATCATTTTTTATCCCCAACACTAAACACAGGGTCTTGTGCTTGATAAGTATTTGTTGAAATGAATGGAGAGCATTTCCTTTTCAGGGAGGGCCACAGCCCTAGCTAAAATTCCAGGGCTACTGGGAGGGGTTTTCTTACCGATTACCAGCCTAGCCCTCTTTCAGATAGAATTCTGCCCTCATCCTGCTTCAGCCTTCCACCTCACAGAAGCCAAGGATTGTTCCTGGCAGCACTGGAAAAATGATGTTTGGGTGTTAGATAGTCAAATTCTGTTTTTGCTGCATACTAGCTATATGAACCTAGGCAAGCCTTTGCTCTTTTCTGAACCTGAGTTTCCTCACCAGTAATATGATGAATAGGCAGACAGACAGACAGATATTTATTAAGCCTTTACTGTATGCTAGGCACTGTGTTAAGTATGGGGGATAAAAATAAAAGAAAGCAAGACAGCCCCTGCCTTCAAGGAGTGTACATTCTAATGGGCAAAGACAACACATAGAGAGCTTGAAGGGAGAAGGGATGTTGGAGGCATGGTTTGGAGATAGCCAGGAAGTGATATGGGAGCCTGGATAAGGTGAAAGGTCCCCTATCCAAACTCAGGGCGGTTCCAGGACTAGAGGGAGGGAGTGGGGAGTTGGTGACTTGTTTGAAAAACGATGTGCATGATAACCCTTTCACTGTCTGACTCACAGGGTTGTTGTGAGGCAAAAGTGTTTAGTAAGCCTTAAAGTTGATGACCTTGAAGGTCATCCTTGTTGTTATTCTTGACAAAGTGGAGTCAATCTGAATTATTCATTCAGCAAAGCTTCTAGCCTCAGCACTCTCTAACCAAGGGAGGCTCATGAATAAGGAAACAGGCCCAGGCTCTGGCCTATCCCCATTGCCTCTTGGTCAGTGTCTGCTGCTCATGGTACATACAGTCTGACGCGGACATAGAGGGAGGCACACCCAATATAACTCATGTGTAGGCAGAAGAGAGATACAACACCTGCATGCACACACAGCACATGCAAATTGATGGTCACGTGCACACACACACACATTCACAAGTTACATAATCCACTCAAGTCAAGCTATGTCAATCAACCTTTATTAAGTGCTTAACATGTGTTGGCATTGTTCTAAGCACCAAGGAAGCAAAGAAAGGCAAAGAGGCAGATAAACACACACGACACACAAATATAAGTTCAACACACGTATGCAAAACCAAAGCCCCATACAAACAGGCATATATATGCAAGCGTACACGTAAATACTCAATTTGCTGACCTGATTTCAAGGAGGAGCAGCCCTTTCTGTGTCTGTATATGGTGTGTGTGTGTATGTGTATATATGTGTGTGTGCATGTGTGTGTCTCCATAGACACATCGTCATAAAGCATATCCTTATGCTACACCCACTTCCATGGTCCAGTTCTCCCTCATCTACATCCCGGGGGTTTGCTTTCTCTGTAATTGTGAGGGAGCAAGATAGAATACTGCACTGAGAGTCAGGAAAAATGTGTTGGAATTCTGTCTCAGAACCTTACTAGCTCAGTTTCCTCATCTGTAAAATGAGGATAATAATAGTACCTACCTCCCAGTGTTGTCATGCGGCTCAAATAAGGTAACACATATAAAGTGCTTTGCAAACCTTAAAGCATTATAGAAATGCTAGCTATTATTGTTGTTATTAATATGGAGGTAGGTAAAATTTCTCTTCAGTTCCCTCCCTCGAAGGCCTGCTTAAGCCCTTCATACCTCTCCAAGCCATTCCCCAACCACATCCTCTGCTCACCAGGGCCCACCCTCTATATACATCTCCTCAAGCCTGGCTCTCAGCCAGCAATCATTGAGATGGAAATATGGCAGGTCCTGTGCTTATCTACAGGGACAGCCACTCTTATAGCCTGTGCAAGGGTGATTATTCCCACCTTACAGATGAGATAACTGAAGTTCCCAGAAGTTATAGGTCATAGAGTTAGAGCTGGGAGAGACCTTAGAGGCAGGCCACTCAATACAACTTCCACATTTCACAGATGAGAAAATGGACCCCTAGAGGTTGACTTGCTCAGGATCACATAGCTAGTGAGTACCTGAGGTGGGATTCAAACCCAGGTCTCCTTAACTGCAAGTCTGTCTCTCCATCCCAAGTCTCTTGGTTCCAAATGTAATACTCTTTCCTCTATTTCCCCCACCTACACCCCTTGCCACTGCTTCTTCTATAATAACTGTTTGCATAAGTGTTTGACAGTCTGCAAGGTGCTGGGCATCCTTCCCTCTAAAGGGAAGAAGCTGGAGGCCTAGAAGATAAACTTTAGTATATGAATCAGTGCTGTAAGAGCTTCATCTGTTAAGCTGGATTAGACGACCTCAAAGATTCTTTTCAGCTGTGTGACATTCTATGTCCCAGGTTCCTCCAAGCTCTGAAATGTTATGTTCTAAGGTCCCTCCTAGCTCTAATATTCCATGTTCTAAGGGTCCTCCCAGTTCTGACATTCTCTGTTCTAAGTGCCCTCCCAGTTCTGACATTCTCTGTTCTAAGGCCTCTCCTAGCCCTGACATTCTGTTTCAGGATTCCTTTAAACTTCATCTTTCTATGACCCTGATTAAGCTTTGTACATATGTTTGACCTCAGTATAGTTGGTGGGGAGGATAGGAGGAGACATTGGGTTTGTAGCCTAGGTCCTCTTGAAGGATGAGGCTACCGTAGATATCAGGTACCCTTTAATTCAATTTAATAAGCATTTATTAAGTAGGTACTGCAGGCATTCATTGAATTGGGGGAGAAGGACCCAAAGACATAAATGAAAAAGGGTCTCCATCCTCTAGGAGCTTGCACTCCTCCTGGCTTGCCTTGAAGTTTTCTCTTTTCTGTCAGTGGGGGTTGGGGAGCAGAGTGGGGGACGGGGTAAAGGAGCTGGGTGGATGTCTTTGCCTCAGTCCCATTTAGCTCTGGTTTCTGCCTTGTTTCCCAGAGGAGCAGGAGCCTCCCTCCAATGCTCTGGCCAGCGTCGTCCAGTATGTGCCTCTAGAGCTTATGGATGGGGTGATCAGAAACCTCACGAATGATGACAGCATCACAGATGCCCAGATGATGACAGCTATCAGCAGGTAGGAGACAGCAGCAGGGAGGAGGGGACTGCTTCACCAACCCTGAGGGCTTTCTGAGCTTTGGTAGGGGATGGGGCAGGGGAGACGGGGAGAAGACAAAGAGGAGGGCAGGATTTTTTTCTCTTGGCAGGTAGCCCCAGGAGAACCAGGTGCTAGTCACAACTCTGTCACTTACTGGTTGTATAACCTTGGGCAAGTCACTTTTCCTCTCTAGGACTCAGTTTCCCCTTCTGTAACACAAGTTGACACCGGATGATCCTTAAGGTCCCTTCTAGCGCTGACTTTCTTGGGGTCCGTGATTCTATTTTGCCCCTTTGGTGTAAGGCCAGTGTGTGATACAGAACTTCTCACTGGCCTCCGCTTAGCTAAGACTAGATTCTGATGACGTTTGGGTCCCCCCTGCCTTCTCTACAGCCTTCCTAATACAGAATGGACTGCTTCACAGAGTAGTGAGACTACCATTTCTCAAGGTCTTCAAGCAGAAGACAGATGACTACTTATCAGGATAATATAGAAATTCCTTTTTAGATACGAGTTAAACTAGATGCTTTCTGAGATTCCTTTAAGCTCTGATTCTAGAGAAGAGTACTAGGCCTTTCCTGATCCCTTCTTTCTGTCCCCCATCTCTATTATTCTTTAGGGCCTTCCTTTCTCTAGGCTAATGAGCTTGTGATGTTTGTCATTACAAGAACATATCCTTTTATATTAAGGGGATTTGTTCTGTGAAGTTTGGATTCAGTCAGAGGCTACACTTCAGGATCTAGACGACCACGTGTGGCCTTAAGGCTGCAGGTTCCTCACTGCCGGTTTAGAACTTGAATCAAAGACTACATATTGTGGTTTTCTACCAAATGACTTATTACAAACGTAGTCACTGATGACTCACCTTTGCATAACATATTCAAAATGATAATAAAGTATGTATTGTAGGATTTGAATTAAAAAAAAAACCACCAAGGTACAATCTAATACTTTTCTCATTAAACTTCAGTTATTATCAGTCATTCCTTAATTTCTCCTGTTTTAAAGAAAATTTGTTGACTCTTCCTCTCACTAGTAATTCTAAAACTTAGCTTTTATTCTGCTGCTGATTCTTTGCCCTAAAACTTATGTCTGACAGTTTTCTACCAAATAACAAGAAAGATCTTAGGTCTCCTTGTCCTGTTCTCTGTATTTTTGCTCTTTCGTGAGCAGAACAGAATGATCAGATAACTGCCATAACATATATATTACAACTAGAACAACAAAGATGAGAAAAGCATGGTCCCTGGGCAATGATGACATACAAATTTATGAAGTGTTCAATATTGTTTAAACTTGGTGTCCGTGGGGCCTTTCTTTTCTGCCTTTGATCTCTTTGGGGTATGTGTCTTGCAGTGGGAACATTGGTTCAGCCACTTTTTCTTGCATATTTCTAAATTATTTTCCAGAATGATTGGACCAATTCACAACTCTACGAACAGTAAAGTCTTCCTACAGCGACCCCCCCCCCAATACTGACTGTTGTCATTTTTTCCTTTGGCAATTTGCCAAGTGAGGCAAAGCCCCAGAATTGCTTTAATTTGCATTTCTCTTATGATCAGTGACTTGGATCATTTAAAACACTATGGTCATAGCTAGCTTGAAATTCTTCTTTTGAAAACTGATTCATATCCTTTGACTATTTATCTTCTGGATAATATCTCTTCTTCTTACATATTTATGTAAGATATAACATTTATATCTTTATATTTATAAAATATATTTATGTAAGATTCTGTCTTTGATATCAGACTTTTATTAGTAACATTTCATACAAAATTGTGTTTTTTCTCCACTTAGTAATTTCTCTTTATTTTAGCTGCTTTGATTTGATTCATGCAAAAGCTTTTTAATTTTATGTCAACAAAACTGTCTTTTGTGATCTCCTCTCTTCTTTGGTTTTTATGTCATCAAAACTGTCTTTTGTGATCTCCTCTCTTCCTGAGCCATATTTTGAAAGCTATCTTTTGATTTTTTCATTTTTTATATCTTTTAAAATATCTTTTATATTTCTAAGAGGCAGCATGGCATAGTGGATACAGAACTAGCTTCAGGGTCAGGTACCACCTCTGTGAGGCCCTGGACAAGTCGTTTTACCTCTGTCTACCTCAGTTCCCTCCTCTGTAAAATGGGGATAATAATAACACCTATTTCCCAGTTTGTTGAGATGAGGATTAAATGAGACAGAGTATAGAGGTATGCAGGAGGGAGGGCTCACTTCTAGTGGGGGAGAGAGTAAGAGGAGCTATTTAACTATATACGTTATATTATTTGATCCTTATAAACCAGGGTTATGGATACTCCAGATATTATTATCACTATTTTTTAAACATATTTTTACATTAGTCATGTTGTAAAGAAGAATTAGGATCAATAGGAGGAACCACAAGAAAGAAGAAACAAAACAAAACAGAAAGGAAAAAAAGAGCAAATAGTATGCTTTGATCTGCATTCAAATTCTATAGTTCTTTCTCTGGATGTGGATTGCATTTTCCATCTTGAGACTTTCGGAGATGTCTTAGATCCTTGCGTTGCTGAGAAGTACTAAGTCTATCAAAGTTAGTCATCGCACAATCTGGCTTTTACTGTGTACAATGTTCTGCTGGCTCTGCTCACTTCACTCAGCATCAGTCCATACAAGTCTTTCCAGGTTTTTCTGAAGTCTGCTTGCTCATCATTTCTTATAGCACAATGGTATTCCATTACATTAATATACCACAGCTCATTCAGCCATTCCCCAATTTATAAGTATCCTCTCAATTTCCAATTCTTTGCCACCACAGAAAGAGCTACTATAAATATTTTTGTGCTATTGCTGGGTCAAAGGGTATGCACATTTTTATAGCCCCTTGGGCATGGTTCCAAATTGCTCTCCAAAATGATTGGATCAGTTCACAACTCCACCAAAAATGCATTAGTGTTCCAATTTTCTCACATCTTCTCCAACATTTATCATTTTCCTGTTTTGTCATGTTGGCCAATCTGATAGGTGTGATGTGGTACCTCAGAGTTGTTTTGATTTGCATTTCTATAATCAATAGTGATTTATCATTACCATTTTATAGAGAAGGAGAGAGAAGATGAGAGAGTTTACGACTTGCCTGTGATAACACAGCTAGCGAGTTTTGGAGGTCAGATTTGTACCCAGATATCTCCCTGACTCCTGACTTCTTTCTACTGCACCACAGAATCAAAGCAGGGCCTTCATGGATAGTTAGGTTTTTAATAAATAGAGACAGAGAAAATAAGGAATATAATGTGAGCAAAAGCAGGGAGGTAGGAGAGATCAGGATGTCTTTGGGGAATAGCAAATAGTCTAGTTCAGCTGAAATGTGTGAGGGGAAATGCTGGAGATGACTCTAGACAGGCTAAACTGTGAAGCGTCTTGAATGCCAGAATGGTTCCCGTACGCCCCACTTCACGGTAAAGTGCCCATCCCTGACCCTGGCTGTTTTTCTCTTCTAGCCTGGTTCTCTCATAGAATCATCGAGTCAGAAAAGCCATCAGAGGTCACCTAGCTCATTCTTTCTGTCCATGCAAAAATCTGATTTGCAGCATCATTATTGATAAGGGGGATGGGGTTGGGGAGGAAGAGTCTGCTTGAACCATTTCAAAGACAGGGAGCTGACCACTCAGCCATCTGATTATTGAGAAGTTCTTTGCATTGATTGAAATCTGCCTCCCTGCAACTGCCACTGATTTTAGTTCCATTTCGTTAAATCTAGCAAACATTTATTAATCACCTTCTGTATGAAGAACCCCATGATAGGCTTCCAGGTCCTCAGACTATGACTGGCACACCCTGAAGAATAGGAAAGGACCCATAAAGGTCAAGGCTGTGGCTTACCTTGTAACAAAGAATCCTCACTTGGCATTTGGGTCTGTTTGTGCTTAAGTCCTCAGGGACACATGAAGAGCTTAGGAAAAGCCCTCCAGGGCAACAGAGCCCTCAGAGCCTCATTACTTTGCCACAGAGAGATCTCATCTGGCTCTCTTGTTCTCAGGCAGTTCTGCATTAGGAGAACCAGTTTAGCAAACACCAGCCAGTGTTAGTTTTGCTTTTATAAGCTGGTTATAAGGAACCTTAGAATGGGAGAGAGGAAGATGTCTTTGGTAAGGTTAGTCACAAGAGCTGCTTTCACAGTTCATTTGCATTGCCTTCCCAATTATGCTAACATAGGCACTGAGGAAGACTAAAAGCTTAGCTGAGGTGTGGTCCTTGCCCCATGGAGCCTATAGCCTAAGAGCTTTGCCACCCAAGAGGCCAAGCAGAAGTAAATCTGCTCCACACAGCAGCCCTTCTGATCCCAGTATGTCCCTCTCCACATCTTCTTCCACACCTTCTCTTCTTTAGCTTTGACATCCCCTGGGCTTGTCCTGATGTAGCATGGTCATGACCCCTCCCCATCCTGGTCATTCTCCCAGGCATGTGCTCATCCGTGTCCTTCTAAAATGTGTCCTCTCTTTTTCCCTGCTCCTCCCCCAGGCTGGGGCCTGAGTAGGGATGAGGACCTCTCCAGGTAGAGTAGAGGCACATGTACCTGACCCTGCAAGGACTGGTGGTAGATGCTGAGTCTTCATTCCCCTAATGGGGCTCAAGGGGCTGCCCATGCTTGGTTTCATCCTGAACTTTGTCTAAGAGCAGGAAGGACTGAAAATAGAAGCCCCAGCTCAGCTGCCCCTCTTCTTCCGGATGCTAGAGAGAGGCAGAATGAGTGGATTCCTCAGGCTTCTGGGGAAATAGAGTGATCTCCTTCCCCTTCTCTTCTATTCCCCTAGAAAAGTAATTAAGGTTGGTCAGGGACTGAGATGTAAAGTTTGAGAAAATGCATTCAAAGCTACTGGCAGGGGTCCAAAGTCAAGCCAGACTACCCCCAGAGATGAGAGCAAGGAATAGGGAGAAGGGAGAAGGAGGAATGATGAACAGTGAGTCAGAACCAGGGCCTGAGGCTGGGCTCAGCCCTGAATCTGGCTTGGGGTCCTATCCCTCAATGGTCATGCCTGCCTTGGGCTAGCAGAAGTGAACCCCATCAAGGGCCTTTGGATACAAAGGGAAGGAAGAAGCAGGTAGGGACAGAGTAAAGTGAGGCCCTATTTGTCACCTGTCTGTAGAATTTTGGAAGCACAGGATCTTAGTAACCTAGAATCATGAACTTGTAGGACATCAGAAACATTCATTGTCCATTAGAAACAGACTTGTAGATTCTTGGAATCTTACAAACTTAGAGAATCTTAGAAAAACAAACAAAAAAAGGCTTTGCAGACCTTGAAGTGCCATAGGAATGTGAATTATTATAATTAGGAACTTTAAAACAGTCACTGACTCTTAGAAACATACTCATAATCATAGACTCTTAGAAGCCTAGAAAGTCAGTATTTACTAAGCACCTACTATGGGCCAAGCACTACAATAGGCACTAGAGATCAAAAGACCAAAATGAAATAATCCCTGCCCTCCAGGAGCTCACATTCTATCAGGGAAATACAATGTGCACATATAGCTGTATAAAAAAATGTACAAAGAGGGGCAGCTAGGTGGCACAGTGGGTAGAGTACCGGCCCTGGATTCAGGAGGACCTGAGTTCAAATCTGGCCTCAGACTAGACACTTGACACTAGCTGTGTGACCCTGGGCAAGTCACTTAACCCCAATTGCCTAAACAACAAACAAACAAACAAACAAAATGTACAAAGCAATATATGGATTCTTAGAAACTTAGAATCTTAAAATAATAGAATTTCATAGCTGAAAGTGGCTTCAGAGGCCATCTAGTGCTGACTTTTACCCAGGGAAAGAATGTCTTATAGAGCAGGGCTTCTTAAACTTTTTCCATTCTCTACTCCTTTTCCCATTTTGGCAGTGTTCATTGGTGTTGTGTGGCCTGAGGGCATGCCCAGTGCAAAGTGTGCATGCTTTGTGTTCAACCCCAAGGCTACTGCAAAGTTATTGGATGCAGCACAGGCAAGCACTGCCAGAAACACCTCGGATTCATTACGCATTTGATTTTGAGTTAATTTTTGGTTGTTGCGTGTTCAGAAACCTTTTACTGTTGCCAGATTTTTCACAACCCCATAGGAGATCGCGACACACAGTTTAAGAAGTGCTGTAATAATCTAGAGAGATGGTCTTCTGGTCTTTGCTTAAATGCTTCCAGTGTTGAGATAGTTGCTATGGCAAGAGGCAGCTTGTTAGGATCATAGAATTAGAGCCCAGATGACTTCAGGGGTCATCTAGTTTAGCCCCCACATTTTGCAGATGGAAACTGAAGCCATGGAGGTTAAATGATTTGCCCAATGGTCACACAAACTGTTAAATAAATAGCAGAGCTAAGATTTGAACCCAGGCCCCTTGACTCTAAATCCAGTACTCTTTCCAGGCCCTATACTGACTCTCTAAAAGACCCGTTGGTCAGCCGCTCATGAACAACTGCTTTGCACAAAGCCAAACAAAACAAATGGTCTATACCCTCAGGAAGCTTGTGTTCTTTCTGGGGAGAAAAAGAATCAAAATTACTTCTTATACTGTCAATCCATTAGTCCACAAATATTTATTAAAAGGCTATTTTATTTATTCAACCAGGAAAAAAGACAGAGTATATGATATAAAGGAGAACATTCTAGATTGGGAGTCAGGAACCCTGGGTTCTAGTCCTAACTTTGCCGCTAACTCCCTGTTGATGTTGGACTGGTCCCTTCCCCTCTATGGGCATCAGCTTCCTCGTCTATAAAATGAATTCTTAACTTTTTTTTGGCATAGACCCCTTTGGCAGAGAAGCCTATGGACCCCTTCTCAGTAATTTTTTAGATGCAGAAAATAAAATACATGGGATTACAAAGGAAATCAACTACATTAAAATATACAAAATATTTAAATCTTAGTTTTTTAAAATTTCTATATTTTAATGTATTTAAATAAATATATTTATTATATATTTTTAAAAAAAAATTAAACCCTAGGTGATGAGCCCCAGGTTAAGAATCCCTGAAGCAGATGATCTCTATGGTCCCTTCATCTCTAATTGGTACATCTTATATCTATTTTGAGCTCCTACTATGTGCTAAACTCTGTTGCTGAAATAATTGGATCATAGAATTTTAGGGCTAGAAGGGACCTTAAACATCAACTAGCAAATGACCTGATGGAAAATAAAATAAACTGAATCAGCAAAACAGTATACACAATGACTATCTAAATGGAGAACAACAGCAAAATAAGATTGAATGTTGCTCCCTTATGAATGACAAAGCTTGGCCCCAAAGAAGAGATATAAGAAGGCATTTCCACCCTCTACCTCCTCCCCCCACATTTCTTTGCAGAGGTGGGGTACTGAGGGTGTGGAGCACTGCCTGTAACATAAGACATTTTTGACCTGTCAGTTACTTCACTAAACTTTTTCTTTCCCTCTCTTTTATTCTTAATTATATGGGATGGCACTCTGGGAAGGGTGTGAGAAGAACTACAATGGGAAATGAAGGTGACCTGAAAACAAAAGATATTAATACAAATTTATTTTTTAAAAATCTACTAGTCCAACCTCCCACAATTTGTACAAGAAGAAACTGATGCCCAGAGAGGGGAAGCAGCTTGCCCAAGGCTGCACAGTGAGTTAATGGCTGAGCCAAGACTAGAGGTCAGCTCTTCTGACTCCTAATCCAATATTTGCTTGTGCATGACAACATGGGGGGTACAAAGATGATTTAGACACTAACCCTGCCTTCAAGAAGCTCACAGACATGGACACAGATAAGTATGATTGAAGGCAGACTAAAATTATAAAGTGCCTGCTGTATGTAGAGCACTGTTGGGTACTAGGGGAGAATGAGGTAAAGGAGTATACATCCTATGTGAAATGGAAGGGAGGAGAGCTCTCTTCTGTTTGGGGGGGATCAGGGAAGGCTCCAGCTGTGAGGTGCCACAAGCTTGATACTGTCTGTAGTGACCCCAGTAGTAATATCAGCAGTAGCGCACATTTGCTTAGTTTATAAAGCGCTACCTTCTTATCACCTCTTTTAGGGATGGTCCCTAACAGATGAGGAAACTGGGGCTCAGAGTGGGTTAGTTGATTTGCACAAGGTCCCATAGCTAAGTCAGTGCTGGAACCAGGATTCTAACCCCAGCCTTGGTATCGAGTCTCATGCTCTCTCTACTGTATCATGCTGCAGAACTGGTTTCCTGGGGGCTAAGAGCATATATTGGGATGACCAAGCCTCTCTCAGGGCAGTGACCTGGAAGATTGGGACCTGGCATGGTGAGGAGTTGGCAACAGTGGGGCGTTGTGTGACTTCTTCAGTGGGCCTGGACTCTGGAGTTTGGGGTTTGGGGGAGGTGGCAAAGGGATGGAATGGCCCGGCTGCAGGAGAGGACATAAGGGGTCAATCTAGACCAATGACCTTTAACCTATTGGCCTAGCCATAGAGTTAGAACTAACCGTAGATCAAGTAGATGGCTATCTAGAAGATATGTGACCGCTGACCTGTGCCTTTTTTCTTTCCTTTTAATTTAAATTCTCCTAATTCTTTTAGGATGATCGACTGGGTATCTTGGCCCCTGGGAAAAAACATAGACAAATGGATCATCACGTTGCTAAAGGGCCTAGCAGCCGTTAAGAAGTTCAGCATTTTGATTGAAGTCTCTCTCTCCAAAATAGAGAAGGTCAGCACCCATTCCAAACTCCCTCTTGGGACCTGGGGCAAAAATTCCACCACAAGGGGCCTGGGGAAAACTAGAGCCACTGGCAGAAATGGATGTGGCCTTGACAGGCTCCATCCATAGTAGGGACTTGTGTGGTTTAATGAGAAAAGTACTGGTCTGGGAGTCAGGAGACAGGCCCCCTAACTCACTGTGTGATTTGGGGCAAATCATTTCCCTGGGTCTTTCTCACATTTGAAATGAGGAGGTTAGGTTAAGTGATCTCTAAATTCCCTTACAATTCTCATACTGTATGACCTAAGGTTCCTCCCAGCTCTGACATTTTCTGTTCTAAGGTCCCTCCCAGCTCTGACATTGTGGGTTCTAAGATCCCTCCCAGCTCTGACATTGTGTGTTGTAAGATCTCTCCCAGCTCTGACATTCTATGTTCTAAGTTCTCTCCCAGCTCTGACATTCTGTGTTCTAAGGTCCCTCCCAGCTCAGACATTTTGGGTTTTAAAGTGCCTCCCAGCTCTGACATTCTCCGTTCTAAGGTCTCTCTCAGTTCTGACACTCTCTGTTCTAAGCTCCGTCCCCACCCCAGCTCTGACATTCCCTGTTCTAAGGCCCCTTCCAACTCTAACACTGTGTGTTCAGTGTTCTAACATTCTGTAGTCTAAGATCCCTTCTCGTTCTAACAGTCTATATTAGATTATATACAAAAGTCTTTGCTCAGTATTGGGTATACAAAGATAAATATGGCATAGACCTATTCTGAAAGAACTTACAATCTAATGGGAAAGATATGTACACAAATAACTATAATATGGAGAGAGAGAGAGAGAGAGAGAGAGAGAGAGAGAGAGAGAGAGAGATAAAATACAGAGGGTCCTTTCCAGCTCTAACATTCTTTGTTCTATGCTCTCTTCCAGTTCTGACATTGTGTTCTAACAGTCTGTATTCTAAGGTTCCATCCGTTCTATTATGCTCTGAATCTGTGAGCCCTCCATTAAACAGCTGTGTGCACAGAGGCACCTTTGGCACTGAGGGGGAGGTGGAGACACTCTCCGGACTTCTCCACCTCCCTGCCAGCAGCCTTCTCACCCTGGGGATGCCTCCACCCTGCGGCTCTCTCTTCTGATTGGTGAGTCTCTGGCCCAGTCCACCATTTCATGAGGTGCCCAGGCCATGCTTACTTCACTGCTGACTCCGCTCCTTACTGTCTGGATTTCTTCACCTCCTCATCAGCAGCAGCCTTGTTCCCCCCTCTTCACTACTACCCCTCCTCCAGTTTTCCAGCTCCCCATTATTGTAGTCTTCCTCCATTAGAGTGTAAGCTCCTCAAGGGTAAGGACTGACTTGTTTGCTTGTATTTATATCTCCAGCTCTTAGCACACTGCCTGACACATAGTAAATGCTTAATAAATGCTTGTGCGCTCTCTCTCTCTCTCTCTCCCTCCCTCCCCCCCTCCCTTTCCCTCTCTCTCCTTCTCTTTCTTCCTTTTTCTTTATTTTTTCTCTTTGTCCTCTTTCCTTCCTCTCCCTCCCTCACTTTCTTTCTCTTTGTTTTTCTTTCTTTCTCTTCTTCTTCTCTCTTTTTTCTTTTTCTCCTCTCTCTCTCTCTCTCTCTCTCTCTCTCTCTCTCTCTCTCTCTCTCTCCTCAAGGAATTTACAATTTAGTGAGGTAGTAAGGATATAGATATGAACTTGGTTAGTTAGCTCCAGTATGAGCTAGGATGTGAAACAGGCTTTTAAAAGTGAGACTCATTATTATGAAAACTCTGAGAAAAGACAGCTCTTTAAGCTAGGGGAGATCAGGGAAGACTTCTTAGGAGTGGTGGCCAAAGTAGGCTTATCTAGTATGCAAAGGGGCCATAGGGACCTCAAAGTTAGCAATTAAAAAGTGTTACATAGCAATTAGGTACAGATTCAAAACAGCTGCTTACATGTGGAATCCTGAGGATCGTGTGGTCACCCCACTGTCCCTGTCCCTTATTTCTGTCTAGGCCATCACTTAGATCAGTTTTATGCATAATCATCACATGCTATAACATATAAACAAGGATTCATATTCATGAATACCCCACATTCTGTCAATGAGTCTTCATTTTTACTTTATCATGGATGACATTGACCACAGCCTCCATCTCCACACTGTACAAGGTCTGCTAGGTCCTCCAAAGGTAGAAAGACTTTGGGGTCCTACTACTGCCCATGCCTGTTGTCCAAAGACTGACCTAGCTAAATGTGGACACCAGGGGATCAAGGTTTTTGATCATAGCAATTCATGAAGAAATAAAAGGTTTGGCATCATCACCAAGATGGGAGTAGTGGTAACACCAAGGAAATAATAATCTGACAACTGAGATGAAAGAACCTTCAGAGGGTATCAAATCCAGCCCATATCCATGCAGGAATCCCCTGTGCAACCAGTGGTCCTCAAGCCTTCCAGTGATGGGGCGCAGCCACACCTTCATTCATTCCCTTTATGGAAACCTCTAATTGTTAGGCAATTAGGATGAAATTTCCATGTGTTGAGCTTAATCTTCCTCTCTACAACTTCTGCCCATTTGCCCTAGCATGGGAGGATTCCTCCTGAACACAGTTCCTTTTAATATGCACTAAGATTGTCTTAGCTTGTTTTTTGGCTGCCATCACGACTCATATTGAGCTCAAGATCTTTTTTGCAAGAACTGTTGTCTTGTCAAACTTTTGCCATTTTGTACTTTAGAGGCAGTGTAGTTTAGTGGAAGAAATCCCAGAGCTAGAGTCAGGAGAAGCCTCTATAGAAATCCTGTTGTTGACCCTAAGCTTCAAGGCCATGGGCAAGTCACATTGCCTCAGTTTCCTCATCTGTAAAATAGGGATAACAATGCCTGCAATAATACTTTATAGGGTTACCGAGAGGACAAAATTAGATAATTTATGTAAAGTATTTTGTAAACCATAAACATTAGTCATTTCTGTTTTGCAATTGGGTTTTTTAACCTCAAGGTACTTTTTATTTATTATGAATAACTGACATATACTGTCTGTGTGATAAAGTCATTTATCTTCTTTATGTTCCAGTCAGCTTTCTAAGACTATAAGTTATAGACAAATTGCTAATCTATATTGTTGGAACAAGTCACCATGCCATGAAATCATAGGCCTATAGATATTCTATCTGTCATCTTATCTATGTATCTATCTATTATCTATCTATCATCTATCTAGCTATCTTTCCATCTAGCTATCTATTGTCTATCTATCCATCTACCTATTGACCTATCTGTCATCCATCTTCATCTAGCTATCATCTACCTATCTATCCATCTATCTATCTATCATCCATCTTTTTATTATGTTCTAGCTGATTAAATATTATTAGATCCTATCTTTCTAGTCTGTAGAAATGTTTTTGCACCCTATTCTGTCATCCAAGAGTTAGCTGTCCCTTCTAGCTTCCTGTCTTCTGTAAACTTGTTAGGTGCTCCATCTATACCATCTACAAGGCATTGATAAAAATATTGAGTGACAGAAGACCAAGAATAGATTCCTTGGAAACTTCATTGGTCTTCCCTCAAATTTACACCAACCCTTTAGCTCCTATTCTTTAGGTCTCATTCAAATCTACCTAGATATAATCTCCTTTTGCCCATATCGCTGTGTCTTATCTATAGGAATAGGATGAGACTCTTTGCTATATGCCAATTTTATTATGTCTGTGGCATTCTCTGATCAAACAGTCTAGTAACCCTGTCAAAAAAGGAAATAAAACTAGTCTGACATGACCTATTTTTGATAAAGCCATACTAGCTCTTTGAGATTCCTACTGCCCTTTCTGAATATCCATACCCAACTCTCCTTTAGTAATACTTCTTGGAATTTTGCTAGGAATTGAAGTCAGACTCATCAGTCTATGGTTTGAAGACTCCATCCTCTTCCCTCTTTTTGAAAGTGGGGACAGCATTTGCCTCTCTGTGTTCTCATGACACTTTTCCCACTTCCAAGATTTTTCAGAGATTGCCAACAGCAACCCAACAATCCCGTCTGCCAGTTTCTTTAGTATCCTGGGACATTGGTTGTCTGGACCTGATCTCTTGAACTCCATCTTGAATTCAACTCCCCATCAATCTTTTTTGTTCTGTCTTTTCCAGTCAGATCATTTCTGCACAGAGAAAATAAAAACATAATAAGAGTTGAATAGTTCTACTGCTTTTCTCCCCATCTATGGTCAAATTCCCATCCACTTTGAACAATGATGGTCCTAGCCTCCCTTTGATCTTGTTTTAGCTTTCTTCTGAGAGTTTGGCTTATTCTGAGCTCTGGTGCTTCTGATGTTAATCTTGTAATACTTACTACTCCTTTGTATTCATTTTCGGTTTCTAGCCCTTGCTTTCATTTTCTATACACATCTTTTAAAAATCTAAGTTGACCAATGAATTAATTTCCTATGCATCTGTGTCAATCTCATTAATTACTCCCCTTTTTTTCTTCCTGTTTGGAATAATTTCTTTTCCTGCCTTTGGAATTTTGTTCTTGAGGATACCCCTCCCTTTGTGGGCTGATTATCCTAGGCAAGAGTCATTCCTTATAAAGGACAACTAGGTTAGTAGATAGGGCACCAGACATGGAGCCAGGAAGACCTGAGTTCAAATCCAGCTGGAGACACTTACTAGGTGTGTGACCCTAGGCAAGTCATTTAACCCTGTTTGCCTCAGTTTCCTTGTCTGTAAAGTGAGTTGGAGAAGGAAATGGTAAACCATTATTTTTGTTAAGAAAACCCTAAATGGAGTCATGAAGAGTCGGATATGACTGAAATGACTGAACAAACAAATTCTTTATCCAAATTCTTTGAAATTTTTTCTCTCCAAATAGAGGATGTGAGGCTATACCTTGTTTTCCAGACACCATCATGAATTCTAAAATTGAATAGTCACTTCCTCATAATGTATCTCTCATTTTTACTGCAACAGTATTATTTATCATCATCAGGGCCTCCATCTTTGTGAATGTTCCAGTAAACAGGAAGTTGAATCATT